GTTAAAGTGACACGTGGTGAACCAATTAAACACAGTTGGTAAATAGATAGCATTATAATATTTTCTCACCTTAGAGTAAAGTATGGATGAAAACAGATGGTATGGTACTGTTTTTCAGGGTAAAAATGTTCGAGGCCTTATTCTGTTAAATCCTCATAACCCACTTGGACATGTTTACAGTTCCGAAATGGTATTGGATATACTTAACTTCTGTTGTAGGTAAGCAGTTGATATTAAAATACATTATCATAAATGTGTATTTTAATACATCAGACAAAAACAACTGTAAGTCTTTATAATGTAACACTAATTTATAGCAGTTGTAGAACAAATGTATTTTTGTTTCATGTTAATTATAAGAATATTAATTTATTTATTTGAAAGACATGTAAATGTATTTTATTTAAAATTTTGTTTTGGGTAAATACAGTTAATATTATGTGTATTTTTACTATTGTACAGTGTACTTTGTGCAAACGAAAAGCAGTATACAACAAGGTGAAAAATCCAAAAATAAAATTTCAAATTTAAGAAACATTTTGTTGAAACTAAGACCTAGTAAGTGTAATACACTTTAATATAGATCCAGTGTTTGAGTAAACCTAAGACCTAGTAAGTGTAATACACTTTATTGTAGACCCAGTGTTTGAGTAAAGCTAAGACCTAGTAAGTGTAATACACTTTATTGTAGATCCAATGTTTGAGTAAAGCTAAGACCTAGTAAGTGTAATACACTTTATTGTAGATCCAGTGTTTGAGTAAAGCTAAGACCTAATGAGTGTAATAAACTTTATTGTAGATCCAGTGTTTGAGTAAAGCTAAGACCTAGTAAGTGTAATAAACTTTATTGTAGATCCAATGTTTGAGTAAAGCTAACACCTAGTAAGTGTAATACACTTTATTGTAGATCCAATGTTTGAGTAAAGCTAAGACCTAGTAAGTGTAATACACTTTATTGTAGATCCAGTGTTTGAGTAAAGCTAAGACCTAGTAAGTATAATTCACTGTATTGTAATCCAGTGTTTGAGTAAAGCTAAGACCTAGTAAGTGTAATAAACTTTATTGTAGATCCAATGTTTGAGTAAAGCTAAGACCTAGTAAGTGTAATACACTTTATTGTAGATCCAATGTTTGAGTAAAGCTAAGACCTAGTAAGTGTAATACACTTTATTGTAGATCCAATGTTTGAGTAAAGCTAACACCTAGTAAATGTAATACACTTTATTGTAGATCCAGTGTTTGAGTAAAGCTAAGACCTAGTAAGTGTAATACACTTTATTGTAGATCCAATGTTTGAGTAAAGCTAAGACCTAGTAAGTGTAATACACTTTATTGTAGATCCAGTGTTTGAGTAAAGCTAACACCTAGTAAGTGTAATACACTTTATTGTAGATCCAATGTTTGAGTAAAGCTAAGACCTAGTAAGTGTAATACACTTTATTGTAGATCCAGTGTTTGAGTAAAGCTAACACCTAGTAAGTGTAATACACTTTATTGTAGATCCAATGTTTGGGCTAGGTGACTGAAAATATTTTACATGAAACTCAAGGCTCTGTACTAGTGATTTTAATGATCTGTACACTATTCCAACAAGTTATTAATTAACTCTTTACACATTAAAGAGGTTTGCCTTTGTAATAGGAATAAAACTTCTGAACACTAAAATCCTATATATATACTGTTCAATACTATTGTGCACTTGTAAAAAAAACATGTTTGTATCTTTCAAGTTTTAAACATAGTTTTGTCAAGTTGACAAAGAATTCCAAAAATTTAAGTGTCATACTTATTTTTGGTTGTATATTATTTTAGGAAGAAACCTTTGAGAGGACATCAGCTTTATGAGTGAAATCAGACTTTTTTAAAAGTTTAATTTATATGACCACATCCTTCTTCACTTGATTTATTGTAAGATATGTAAACTTTAATATTTAAATATCGTGTCTTTATATTTTGTCTGTAAGAAATGTATAAGATTATTGTTTCATGTCACTTGCTGCCTTTGTAACTAGTACCTCCATTACCTTTGTAACTAGTACCTCCATTACCTTTGTAACTAGTACCTCCATTACCTTTGTAACTAGTACCTCCATTACCTTTGTAACTAGTACCTCCATTATCAGTTGGACCACTCTGTTTGCTGTCATTATACACTGTTGCTTGACACGGCAATTAACAGTGTAAGAAGCTTCTGCAAGAGACAACAAGGTCAATCTTAGTCCAGATGTTTTGACAGACTGTCTGCAGCCTTGCACTACACCTGAACACCAGCTTGCATGACCAGATCAAAAGCATAAACATTGTTTGAATGTGCATCAGGGAACTAACAGATATGTGGTTGAAGGGGATTGGTGTGGTTCTCCTTTTTTTTTCACCCATTTCTATCACAAAAATAGCATTGATGTTGAGAGGTGACTGAAAGCTAGTGAAATTTTGGTTTGTGGTCCTTCAAAACCCTTGTTTATTGTCATGTTAGTGGTAGCAGGAGATATGCCCAACTTCTGTACACTATTGATTTTTGTGGTCCTTCAAAACCCTTGTTTATTGTCATGTTAGTGGTAGCAGGAGATATGCCCAACATCTTTACACTATTGATTTTTGTGGTCCTTCAAAACCCTTGTTTATTGTCATGTTAGTGGTGCAGGAGATATGCCCAACATCTTTACACTATTGATTTTTGTGGTCCTTCAAAACCCTTGTTTATTGTCATGTTAGTGGTAGTAGGAGATATGCCCAACATCTTTACACTATTGATTTTT